AGAAGCTATTGTACTTGGCTTTCCTTGACTTTGAAAAAGCCTTAGCATCAGCTAATCTGGTACATGCTACATGATCGTGGTGTGCCCAAGCAACTCATAAAATGGGTCCAGATGCTTTATACAAATACAAGCAGTCATGTGAGATGTGCTGCAGGCCTTTCCGATAGCTTTCCTGTGAAAGTTGGTATTCACCAAGACTCAGTATTATCACCATTGCTGTTCATTCTCATCATAGATACTATCATGAAAGAACTGCAATGTGATATCCCCTGAACGTTGCTTTATGCCGATGATGTCATGCTCGCAGCTGCCACCAGAGAAGAACTGCAGCAATATGTGCAGACATCGCCTTAGCCAACTTGGCCTGCACCTCAACCTCAAGAAGACTGAATACATGAGACCAGCCCAAGCACTTTTACTATACGAGTCAGTGGTAAAGATTAGTGAAGACCAATATCTTCTGTTACTTAGGATTCCATCTACAAAGTGACAGCAGCATTAATGACAAAGTGCATGCAAGAGTGAACAAAGTATGGCTACAATGGAAGGAGGTCACTAGAGTATTCTGCAATTGATACATGCCAATCTAAAATCGAAGGTGCATAAAACAGTGGTAAGCCCAGTAGCTTTTTATGGCACTGAGTGCTGGCCAATCACCAAATTCACTGAGCACTCTTTATGGAGCATGTGCATGCTTGGAGATACTTGCATACTTTGTTGGTCATTAGGTATGTCTCTTGACCATGTCAGCAATGACACAGTACAGCAGCAAATGGGCATTGAACCAATATTTAAGAAAATGCAGGAGAAATGCCTATAATAGTATGGCCATGCCCAACGAGTAACACTCCCACTGTTGCCTGCATTGCCTTCCATTTTAACACAGATGGCAAGCGTCCATGTAGAAGGCCAAAGCAAAGATGGCAAGACCCAAAAATGCAGACATGAAAATTGCCCAGTTGGATCCAGATACTACATTTGCTCATGCAAGATATTTGTCAATCCAAAAAGTGGACCTTGCACCTGCAGGAATAATGCTAGAAAGATGATGATGATGATGATGATACTTAAAATATACAAACTTTATAAATAGAATAAAAAATAGAATTACACATTTTATTTGCTAGGCTATTGCCTAGACCAGGGGTCCCCAACCCCGGTCCGTGGATCAGTACCGGGCTGTGGTATGCCAGCAACTGGTCTGCACAAACAAGCAAAGCCCCATCCGCAGGATGCAGGCAGCACACAAAACCACGCCCCCTTTGGTCCGTGGAAAAACCTCTCTTCATGGAACCGGTCCCTGGTGCTCAAAAGGTTGGGGACCTTTGGCCTAAACCACTATTGCCTAGATCACTTTGTCTCCATTTCACATTTAAGTAAATTGAAGTAGCAGCCCATTTTAATGTTTGCAGCAACTTTGAAAAGTTGTTTGATAAGCTTACTAATAGATGAAAGTTGTGTACTTTCAGAAGGAACTAAGGTTGCCACCCATGCATTATCTTCCCTTCTTAACCACAGATGAAAAAGCTGTCAAGTTAAAACTGAGGAGGCAGGAAATAATCCTTTATTGGACCTCTACCAACTCAAAAAGAAGCCACAATAATACATTAAGCTTAAATACATTTTGAAAAGTGATTGGCAGCATTTCTGCCATATAAAGGTATTTAAATGATGAAATCAGAGGATTACAAAATCTTGTGAGATTTTCATGATCACTTGAGATTTCAATTTTATTTTAGTGGGAACTCCTCAGGTTCAGCGAAACATATTTTATTGAATCCTAATCTATGACATATTATGGTTTCTGTGTGGTCCCAAAAATTGAAATGACATTGATACAGAAGGATTCAGATAGTTAGAAAACTGGGGACTCTTTTACAAAGAGGTATAACAAGGTATAACTTGGAAACAACAACAAGATATCAGAGTCAAATGTATCTCTTAATTTATTATTTAGCCTGGTTTTATTTTAAAATCTTTTGTAACACTTTTGCATATCTGTCTCATCCCTTGAAGTAAAATTCAGAATAAAAAAGAAAGAGAGAAAAGGAAATGTCAAAAAGGGGCATTCAATACCATTAACCTTGGTATCTTTTTGGAGCAGTTTGGGAGTGGGGGGCACTGTGTTGTCCTGGTGCACTTCCTTCCTCTGTGGTCACTCTCAGTGTTGATAAGAAATGAAAGGTCCAGCCCTCATCCCCTGTTTTGGGGGTCCCTCGGGGTTTGATACTTTCGCATTTCTGTTTAACATCTACATGAAGCCACTGGGCAAGAGCAATCAGTATGCTGATAACACCCAACTGTATGTCTCAGCCTGTGGTGAGTTAAGCAATGCTGTGACCTCCCTCTTGCAGTGCTTAGAGGCTATTAAGGGCTGGATTGGGAGCAACAGGTTGAAACAACCCTGACTAAGATTGAATGGCTCTGGGTTTGGGTTCCTTTGTTCCATGGACAATTGCCACCTTTGTCTTGGATTGGGTGGCACTTGATCTGGTGCAAACTCTGAGGGTTCTGACTCATGATGCCTGCTCAAGGAGCAGGTAGCAGTCATGGCCAGGAAGGTCTAGACAAAAATGCGGGTAATGCACCAGCTATACCCTTTCCTAGACCAACAGTCCTTGCTCACAGTCACATACGCATTAGTCATCTCCTGTCTTGACTATTACGAAGCACTCTACTGTGGCTGTCTTTGAAAATATTTAGAAGCTTCAATTGGTTCAAAATGTGGTGGTCTAGATGTGCACACGTGTCATCTTTTTGTAAGAACTCTACTAATTTGCTTCCAAGTCCAATTCAAGCTGCTGGTTATCGTCTTCAAAGACTTATATGGCTTGAAATCAGGTTTCTTGAAGGACCACCTTTTCCCAGTCACATTTACCTGACCCACCAGATAGGGAGTCTGGGAATGCTACTGGTTTATTCCCTAAGGATGTCCATCTAGTGAGACCAAGAAGAAAAGCCTCCTCTGTGGTTGCTCAGTCCAAGTGAAACATCTTCCTTGCGGAGATAAGGTTGCCCTCCACTTTGATGCATTTTTATAAGGCCCTGAAGACCTAGTTTTGTCAATGGACTTGGGGAGCCCAGAGTGGGATAGAACCCATCAAATGACTCATTTGAGTGTTGTTGCCAGGTGGGGGTAAGGGGCTATTGCTTTTTATTGTTTCTTATATTGGGTTTTTATTCTTCAAAGCTGCAGTCTAACAGTGAGTTAGGCAGCCATATACATTTTCCTAAATAAATAAAAAAGAGGGACCAAAAAGAATGGTGCCATTCAGCTATGCCTACAATTTGCATGCAGTTACTGATCCTCTATAGCAGAATGTATTGGTAACCAAGAGGTGGCTTGGATTATAATTTTTTCTAATTGAGTGAGGGAGAGCAAGACTTCAATATCTTTGCTTGCACTGTTCCTGCTCTTTGAAGAGAAGATCTGAAAATCTAAGCTAAGTGCTTGGACCAGATTGTGATCAGTTATGAGATCTTTGAAACTCAATAGCACAGAAATATATGTATAGAGATTGGAGTTAAAGTTTTATAGCTTCTGTTTGAACTTGAGAATTACACGGAACATGCCATACTAGCTAAGTGAAAATAAAATGCTCTCTCTTATCTATATTTCAGGTATAATAGGGATAATCTAGACTCCAGTATATCTGCATCATTGCAACCTGGCCAAAGAATTAATCCCTTAGAGCAGTACTTTCCAAACTGTTCTATTTAGAGACCCTGACATTCCTTGGAAGTTTACTAGGTCTTCCCCATAACTGCAGACTGGTTTCCCTGAAAAACATTTTGCCCTTCAATAATAATATAATTTTCCTATCAAAGACTGCTGCAGAAAAGGGTTTGGATGAAGCCCAGGGCAAATTCTGGTTCACAATTCATATAAAACATGAAGTGTATTTGTAACATATAATTTTTTTTACAAGATGGAAAGTTTTAAAACAGACTGAAAAGTCTTTTTATTTTAGTTACTGAAAATTCAAAATACCTTTCTTGAAGAATGGTTATTTCTGTGTCATTACAATAAATATAAGTCAGACCTAACGATATTTGCTAGAAAAGACATCTCCAACTTCTTTGTGTTAGTAGATTATTTGAAATTTTAAAAACATAGACTCAGCATTCTTATGGATCAGAGTGCCTAAGTGTAAGACTAAATAGGGAGTGCTGGTGGATAACAACACAATGTGCGCATGTGGAGAGATGCAGGGTCCAGCCCATTTGTGGATCTGCCACTTACTATCAGTAGAATACGCCAAACATGATTATTTTCTGCCCAATGATAAAGTGAGAAAGGTGGCTTCATTTTGGTGGTTTAAGGTTTGATCTGGACACAAAATAAATAAAACATTCTTATGCATTGACAAAGGTTCTGCAGAGAAAACCCATTACAGTACAAAGCACTAATTTATCAAAATGCTAATTAGCTCTTCCAAGCCCCCACATTGGTCCTCATGGGCTGAAGGCCTTGGCACTTGGTATTAAATAGCACTCTAGTACTCAATTTAATGTGTTAAATCACGTGAAGTTTTGAAATGAATTATAGACATGGAAACACTATGGAAAAAAACACATGAGGTTACTATCTGCATGTCCCGGATGTTGAAATTGTTAATGGAGTTATCTTCATTCATGAATGGATTTAGCTCAGTGATCATCTAGTTATCAATCAGAGACATGGCTTTCCCACTCAGCTTCATACCACACCCTCCTTCTCTTCATTAGTGCTCTGGCTATGTTTTAATAGCTGGTATTTGTGATGGGGGCATCTGATCCAATGCTTGAGTTAAATATAGCCCTGTCTAGTGTAAGGAGAAGATTTAATGGGAAATGGTTAGCATTCTTTCTCCCTAAAGAACAGAGGGAGGGAGGGAGGGAGGGGGGAGAGAGAGAGAGAGAAAGAGAGAGAGAGAGAGATGCACACATAAACATCTCGAACCAGTGAGAGGCTGAAAGGAGGAAAGGCAAGCAGAAAAGATAGTGGTCAAGAAATCATACAGCTCACAGCCAGAATGGTTATCCTCAGCTGGATTGCTTTGGGATTTTATCTTCAGCTCTTTTTCTGTTGGGCTTTGTCTCAAACCTCTTTTGTCGACAGTATCTTCTCCATTTCAGCAGGTAAATGACAGCCTTGCTTTGCCTCTTGGTGAGTTACATATCTTCTCTTAGGTGATTTTTTGAAAGAAGTTTTTTGTTTCTAATCCCTTCTAATTACAAAGTCTTTGAGAAACTTGATCGCAAATGTAATTGAAGCTGTATCATGTATGTATGTATGTATGTATGTATGTATGTATGTATGTATGTATGTATATGTATACGTATATATGTGTGTATATATATATACACATATACACACAAACATATATATAACATAACACACACACACACACACACACATATATATATTATATTTCAAGATTTAAGAGTGAACATTTCCTATTTAACAGTAAACCAATCACATCCCCAGGAAATACGTTCTCTCCTGTAATATCGGTGCTTTATTTCGACAGTTCATGTTCACTTGAAGATGTTATTTAACTTGGACACCAGAGAAGAGAGATTAATTATATTGTATTATCCATTTTGTTAACATATTTCTGACTTTATCCTGCATAACCAGGATAAGTATCTTATGAAAAATAATACTTAGACTATCAAAAATTTAGACAAATTTGATAGCCAACTGCTATAAAAAACAACAACACTGCAGACCCAGTGTGAATTGTCTGAGTGAAGGGAGTCTTATTTACCACTCTAATCCTAAACTTTCCTTCAGCTGTATGCAATGGAAAGTAGACAGGGAATAGGAAATATCTTCCTTTCAATCAATTTCAATAATCAATTTTCCCTCCTCGGGGAAAAGATTTCTTTGTCAGTAGGCATACTGGAAGTCCCTACCGCTGGGATGGAAAGCAACAATTTAAAAATTTAAGTCTACTTTTGAACTCATGCTAACTGGATAACTACTTGTCTGAATAACATTAGTTACTACAACGTGTAGTTGTAAAGGTGAACTTCACAGCTTTCTCAAAAGGGATGTTAACTTCCTAAAATTATTAAAGGCATCAGAGAGAACCATTCTGAAGAAATTATTTTAAGAATTAGATTGGATACAACTATTGCATAAAACATTTAATATTTCTTTAAAATATTGACTTCAGATTTAGGTTTCTTATAACTGTTAAACCTCAGTATAACTTCATGGCTCAACTACACATCTGTGCCTCTACTGCACTATATATATTAGACATATTAGTTATGAAGTAGTTATTAAAAATATTAGTTTTTTTGTTAGAAGACATTTGACATTTTCAGGAGTTATATTTAAATAGAAAATACTGTTTAAAACCCTGTCATCCTTCCCTTCTTGCCTTTGCTCATTTATAAATGTTTATTTAAGCAAATAAATAATCCTGTACCCATAAACTGAACTAACACAAATTAATATAGTGTCTAGAACAGTGCTTACTGAGATACTCTCTTAAAGTTCATAAATCCATTTTGTGCAGTGATCAAATACCAATTTGCAGAGGTCAAAGGAAAGACTAGAAGGGCAATAAAATCTTATTGTCATTTTGTATTTTCTCTCTTTTAAAAGTCTTTTTTTATATATACAAACATAAAAGGCACCTACAGTTTGGATATCCATTGTCTGTTGACCTCTTGCAAAAGTTCCTTCATCTTTTTTGTGTACTTGATGCTTCAAAGCATCTATACTGAATACACATAGCAAATGTCTAATGGAGATGTTGCACAGCAGGAGGGGGAAATCCCTCTCTCTTATTTCTATCTGGTACAAGTAAAGGCCTTCTCTCAGGAGATGCTAATTTAAAATGAACAAATAAACAAACAAACTAGCTAAAGCATCTAAACAGGGTTACTAAGCAGAGTATTAAACAAATACAGCTTGGAAGCAAAATAATTGACTTAGCTAGACTATCACCATGAGACCATGTTGCAGTGATAAAGAGACGTGTGGTTTTACCATGGGTTCGTTCCCCCAACCCAACATCTCCAAAACTAGGCACCCTCTTGTTTCCAGAAATAGTGATCCTCTTGGTTTTATCTAGCCCTGATTTGTTGATGCTGAAACATCACTTCTAAAGGAAATGCTTCAAGGTTTTAGGTTACATAAGGTAACGTGTGACCATGATTCTTCATTTCCATCTGGCTCTGCTGTAGCAGATGAGTTACTAACAACACATTTGCAGGGGTGAAAATATTTATGGATGGGTTTTTTTTAATGCATTTTCTTTGTTTTGGCCAATTTCTTACTGGCTTTGCAGCAGTTTTAAAGGAAACCCACCAAATCTGCTTTCTCATAGAGTTTGGAGAGTTTCCATTGGTGGGAACTCTTGCATACATTTGCTCTTAGCTCCTCAGCTGTTCTCCCACCCTGCAAAGGCTAGGTCTCCATAGCTTGCCTTGTTGGGAGGGAGGGGGCTCAGCATTGTGATGGCTTGTCAGCTCTGCTATCCCTTCTTCCAATGAAAAAGTTCAGATATGTGAAATGTAAAACAAAACAGAGGCTGGACGTGGCAGTTCTGTTCTAGTCAGCTGGAGAGGACTTTGATTGTATGAAGTCACCTTCTCTGCACTTTGAAATTGGTGGTAGTATGGATGGTTGCCTTGAAACTTGAGAACTGTTTCTGGAGAATGGGGGAGGTAATTGGGAGTGGAAGAAACCTGTACTTTATTTTAGTCTTTCATAACATATCCATATTGGGCTTCAACACCTTCCTGCTATGCAAGTTTTTTGGGCTCAGGTCTTGCAAGAACAACCTGAGTTCTCTGTTGCTGAGGAATATTCATAAAGTGCAGTGCTCTTTCCGTCAATGTTTCTGGGCCTGGCAACCTTTGTAAGCAGGATGATTTGCTAGCTTGTTTTTTTTAAATCATCTGAGTCATCTCTACAGTAAACCAGAATGAGACACACATCTCTGGGAATAAATTCTGGGTGCCATGGAAGGGCCACACAATGTTACTTATTTTTGTTGTTTTGATATTAAATGTCATGAAAGATTTTTGTGAGATTTGTTCATCTATTTGGACCCCTGAATTCTGGATGCCCCCTCTCCCCCCCCCGCCCCGCTGTTATTCAGAAAGCAGTAAACATCTGTCTGTTCACTCAGGCCTTTTGTGAGGGAGAGGCAGACCCCTTACTTCATCACACTTGCCATCTTTTATATTTTGATTGATCACTCAGTCAGCCAGCTGTTTAGACTAGATCTGGCATGTTGTTCACCTGGCGAGTCCCTCAGCCAGAAAGCTGTTTAGACTAGATCTGGCATGTTGTTCACCTGGCGAGTGGGATAGGTAGATGTTGTTGTTTAATAAAATTAAATGTATTGTCAAAGGATGTAAGCTGTTCCAAGTAAAGCCTTTTGAAATTGATTGATAGGGATTTTGTAAGTGCCGTTGGTGTTCAAGTGGTCTATGAGGCATCTATTACTATTGATTTCTTTTGTCATAGTTGTTCTATTTGCAGATATTTATATTTTGTGATTTTTCTTCAGCTCTTTCACTTCTCTTCTGTTATCTCCAATTGTTATTGTAGTTTCTTTAGAGAAAAATATGCATGTACTTTAATAAAAGGCATCTCACTGTGTTGGGGTAAATTATAACTAAATGACTTATGAGTCCTCTCAGTAGAGTTTTTCGTCATGAAGGTTTCTGATCTAACCTTCATTAAATAATAACTTTAATTTTTCAGTTAGAAATGATTACAAAACTATGTCAAACTAAGGAAAATCTTCTGTAAAACAGGACACGTGGTTTCCTTATTTCATCTGCTGATCCATAGAAATCTTGCCTGGCCTGTTACAATTATTAGAAAAAAAAATTAATTCATTCTCATTCTCATTCTCTCTCTTTTAAAATTTTTTTTTAGGAAGCATACTATTACCCCGCTATGCTGTGCATGGGGGTAGATTTCATTTCATTATGATAGTTGGTAATTATTTTTTTAATCAAACTTTTAAGTCAGCAAGCAGGACTTTGAAGATCATGTAAAAAGTACAAAGTGTCAACCCATATTCTGAGCCACAGCGGTAAAATGGTGTAGCAGTAAAAGAAATGGCAAGTAGGGGCTACTTGTATGTTATATAAACTAATGTACATTCATAGTAGAGTTAGTAATTTTGGATTCTAGGTCATATGTTGCACCCTGTCAATATCAGAAAAAGATTCAATCCACAATTATAGCTTATTGAGGACCCTAACAGGATTTAAATATTCTGTTTATTATTTATGTGTTTTTTTTTAATTTGTATAGCTGCTCATCTCAAACTGGGTAACACTGGATGACAAACAATCATAAAAACAAATAAAACAGTCAAAACACAATACAAAAAGAAATTCAATACAAATACTAGCCAATAGATATTACAATCTGTCAGTGTCAATGCAGCCAAAAACAGGGCCCTCTTCGAACCTCAGTACCAGTAACTAGGTTTTTCAGGCCTTTCAAAAAGCCTTCAGGGTCAGAGATATCCCAATCCCAGGAGAGACAACGTTTCAGAGAGTAGATGGTACAGCAGAAAGGGCACATTTCCTGGTCCCTGCCGCAACCTTCCTTGTTAAAATTATAAATTTTGTTACAGTATTCCAAAACCTGGTAAGTCAACTTGGCTGTGTTTCAGGTCTTGCTTCTCCAGATCCTGCTCTGAAATCACTTTGAGAATGGGGGGCAATTTTTAAATGGTTATGACAGTCTAATTGAAGAATTGTTTACTCCAAGGTCAGTTTTAAAATAAGGGATTCTACAAAAGGAAAGCAATGAAACCAATGATTAAAGTGCTACTTAGCCGCAGAGTTCACAAGATATTTTGGGCTTTCTCTCCTTCTCCCTCTCGCTTTCTCTAATCTTATTATTCTCTTCCACACTATTTTCTTCTCTACTATTGCATTTCTATTTAAATCTTTCCTTCCTTCCTTCCTTCCTTCCTTCCTTCCTTCCTTCCTTCCTTCCTTCCTTCCTTCCTTCCTTCCTTCCTTCCTTCCTTCCTTCCTTCCTTGATGTATGTATATATGTATTTAAAATATTTCTGGAAACACTAGACTATGGTGATATATAAAAAATGACATATACCAGTGATGGCGAAACTTTTAGAGACCGAGTGCCCAAACTGCAACCCAAAACCCATTTATGCACCGTTGGGTGCCGGGTGGGTGTGGCCCATTGGGTGGGTATGGCCCATTGGGTAGGCGTGGCTGAACTAAAAAGTTCAATCAATTCCAACTTTGCAAGAACTTTTTTTTTCCCTGCGAGAAGTTGAAATTAACTGATTGATTGAACCTTTTTTTTTTTTTCACACGGCGGCAAAGGCCTAAAGTGAAAAGGTTTTATAAAACCCAGCTGAAGGCCTAGGACTGGGGCGACGGTGCGCGTGCCCACAGAGAGGGCTCTGAGTGCCGCCTCTTGCACCCGTGCCATAGGTTCGCCACCACTGACATATACAATAGAATAAATTCAGTTTGGTCTTGCCACCTTTGGCTCCCAAGTACAATTTTTCCCCATCCACTTAAATTGTATATAGTTTCATGTAATGATTTAAGGCACCAGGATAAAAACCAGGAGAGTGTGAATTTTAGTCCTGAAAGATTGATAGGTGCATTTATTTTATTTATTTATTTATTTATTTATAATTTAATTTATACCCCGCCCTTCTCCTCATGGGACTCAGGGCGGCTAACAGCCTCATAAAACTACAATACAAATACAATAATTAAAAGCCGAATTAAAAAGAAATATTTAAATAGGCCGATCAATTAAAATTATCCTTAAAAATCCCCTGAAACTTTAAAATCATTAACAA